GAATGAATATTACAGTCCAAATATGTACAAAATCCTAATTAATTAACAAATTAAATTAGGAAAGCAATAAATTGGCATGCACGCCAGGGACTGCCTCAACTCTGCTCCGGATGATGGATGATGCATGCTTAAGTTGCCTTGTGCGGAAATCCACTGCGATGCCCCAATTAGCCTCTGTTTGCAATTATTCTCGGGATGCATGCCAAGCTTCGGAAGGCTGCTGATTTCTGATTTGCTGCAACAGATAGCAACAAAGGGGCATGGCAAAGTATTTTTATATATGTATGCATGACTACTCTTCAGGGAGTGTAGTCCTCGATCCTCATGCCACCAATCACGCATCTCGATGCATGATGGCCAAGGAGTCGATTTGCACGACTCAATATGAAATGAATGCACATATGGACACAACAAGGCCTAGACTCCATCATGGATAATCCGGAGTGTCGGCGACCAGGAATTGAGACACGTTCCGTCACTCGGAGTATGAAACGTACCTCGTTTCCCGTGCTTGGGCTAATTCCTATCCCAAGCACAATGCAATATGCATGACATGCATCAATGCAACTAATATACAACCTAGCATGCACAATGCTATGAAATGGCATACACGATGCATGAGGTAACATGGCATACACAATGCGCTAACATACAACCTAGCATACCCAATGCTATGAAATGAAATGGCATACACAATGCGCAATGGACTTACACCAACATGAGTGGACCACAGCCACACTCACATCAGTAGCCATGAGATGAAAAAAAGAGAGACACTCGAAATGCGTGCACACATGCACGCAAACCGAGGACCGACCCTAAGGCACAAAGGCCACTCTAACAAGGCATGGCAAGGCATGAAACATGGTATGCAAACATGCAAATTTCAGTGCTGAAATGTGATGTAAAATGATCCCGAGACATGGAAACATGGCACCCGATGCATGGAATGAACCCGAAATGCAAAACTAGGCATATGCATTGACCTATAGCTATACAAAACATGCGCTATTTGAACGTGAAGTGTGAATACAGATTCAAGGCAGTCCCAAAACAAGCATATTTTCAGTTTTAATCAAGGCCAAACAATGAACACAAATGGGGCTAAGCTAGCATGCAAAAATGGCCCCGTAAGAGAGGTAATGAAGCAAGTAACAGCTGCTGGATCCAAATGGCCACGAGCCCTTCAACAAAGTTGAAGAGGGCCATTCAACAAAGTTGAAGAGGGGCCAAAAACATGGTATTTTACAGTTAATGACCACACCCAAAACAGTGCACATGCAAGCCTAAAATATTATGCAAAATAAGGCCTAAAAAGAGGCTTAAACACAAAGTGTAAAAGAGGAGCCTCAAACAGTAAAAGTCCCTTGATAAAACATGAAGAGGGGGTCAAAATAAGGCCATTTACAGTTAGGAAAAAAGCCTAAAAAAATAATCACAAGGGGCTAACAAATCATGCAAAAATATGGCCAAAAATGAGATAAAGAGGCAAGTGACAGATGGAAGACTCAAACAGTGAAGAGCCCTTCAACAATGTTGAAGAAGGGCTCAAAATAAGCCACTTTATAGTTTATAACCAAGCTCAAAACAGTTTAAAAAAAGGCCTAAAATACTATGCAAGAAATAGACATACAAGAGAGGTAAAGAAGCAAGTGTAAGCCAGAGACCTTAAACATGGAAAGACCCTAAAGAAAACATGAAAAATACATCAAAACATGACTATTTTCAGTTAGGGTCGGAGCCCAAAAATGGAAGCAATTATGGCTAATATATTGGGCAAAATAGGGCAAGAAAGAGGAAGGAGAGGACTTACCCTTGAAGACCAAGTCTTTGACAACTCTTGGCTTGAGTTTGGTGGCTCCTTAGCTCTGGAAAACAGCTCCAAGTGGCTGGAATGGAGGATGGGGGTGTGGTGCTAGGTGGTGGTGTGGAAATGGTGTAGGGTTTGGAGAGGTTTTGGTGCTTGGAAGAGAAGGAGAGGGAGAGACAATATAGGAGGCTTAAAGCAAAATTTTGTAACCCTCAGATGGGAGCTGGAGCTGCCATTATATAGGCAAAAGAAGGGGAGAAAAGGGGGGAAAAATGGGGGGGAAAGAATTCAAGTTTCCCCCCAAAAGTGCAGCCCCCCCGGATACAAAATCTGGGGGGAAACAGAATGTATATTTGAACTGTACCAGTGGAGGGGATCATGGCCAGCCTGTTATTGGAGTTGCAGGTGGCCGGCCGGCCCTTCCCATGGCCGGCCGGCCAAGGGTCAAAAGGCTCAATGAAGATTAGTGGCCAGCCACCCCAGAAAGAGGGCCTCCCATGTGTGCACAACACAACCATGTAGTCAAAAGCTGGAGAAAGTGAACCAGGAGAGAGAAAAGGCCACTTTTAGGAGGGGTTCAAAAGGGTCACACAGAATTACTGGCCGGCCATGTGATATTGGTGGCCTCCCAGGTGTGTACAACACAAATATGTGGTTTGGGGCAAGAAAAAGTGGCCTTAGGGTGGTCAACATTGGCTTTCGAGGGAGAAAAAACGGGCGACGGAGGAATAAAACTGGTTGTTAGAACAATTGCTGGCCTCTCACCCTTCTGCGACCTTTCTAACAATGAAACAGAGGTCCCTGCCAAAAATAAACTCAAACCGATGCAAAATGAAGGTCCGGGGGTCGAAACGCGCAGCCCGAGGCCCCGAAAACTGACTATTAGGCACCGGAAGTGGTGTTCGACCACGAAGTTGGTTTTTCGAGCCACAGTGTCCCTCAAAAGGGAGC